GCTTGTCTTTAATTTCTTTTCTTTTTTTTTTTTAAGATTTTTTTTTTTATTTATTTGCGAGAGAGACAATGAGAGAGAGACAGAGAGCATGAGACGGAGGAGGGACAGAGGGAGAAGCAGACTCCCTGCTGAGCAGGGAGCCTGATGTGGGACTCGATCCCGGGACTCCAGGATCATGACCTGAGCCGAAGGCAGTCGCTTAACCAACTGAGCCACCCAGGCGCCCTGTCTTTAATTTCTTTAATGACATCACAGTCATTATTATAATCAGAACCTGGATATTCCATTATCTGAAGAAGTCCCTGGCCACTGAATTCCTTCCTTTCTTGCCAGCTCATCAATGCTGTTAGAAACATTTTTAAAAATATATTTTTTGTACAAGATTTTTTGGTTGTTTTGAGTGGGAGGGTCAAAGTACTTAGCCTACCATAATGTTAGAAATAGAAGTCTAGCATATTTATTTAAAATTAACATGTGGAACATAAGGAATAGCACAGAGGACCACAGGGGAAAGGAGGGAAAACTGAATGGAGAGAAATCAGAGAGGGAGACAAGCCATGAGAGGCTCTGGACTCTGGGAAACAAACTGAGGGCTACAGAGGGGAGGGAGTAGGGGGGATGGGGTAACTGGGTGATGGGCATTAAGGAGGGCACGTGTTGTGATGAGCACTGGGTGTTATACCCAACTAATGAATCGTTGAACACTACATCAAAAACTTACGATGGCTAACTGAACATAATAAAAAAATAAAATAAAATTGACAAAATTATGAGTGGAAAAAGTAATCCGATGGAGGTTGGCCTTTGGGACCTAGAATTGTCCATAGTGTACTGAATGTATTTTATGAATGTCCTAAACAGTACATGCGTGCCTTAGCAAGAAGCCAGTCAGCGTGGCTTGCCCAGCCCAGGGACAGAGTGATGGAGGTTTGTTCTGCTCTGAGCCCCACCTCTGGAGGACTCAACTCCGGAAGTAGTATGACCAAACAAGGGGGTCTTCAAGAGACCTCCTATCTGAGAGATCATTTTATCTCTAAGGGATTAAGGGCACCCTGAGGAGAGGAGGGCTTGATAAGACTTATGTCCCAGTTGCTGCTGAGTCCTATCTTGGTCTTACCTCTGCTTGGAATTCAGGGGTACATGTTACTCCATCCCAGTGGTCCTCTGGGAGTATCCAAAATGGATGTAGAGGGGACCCTAGAACCCAAGCTGGCCTCAGCCTCTCCTCCCCATTTACCACACCCAATCCCTCAGTCCTCCTGATCCCACCTACTAAGTAGCTGTAGGATCTGTTCATCCAAACCTACTCATCTGCCACCCTGGTGCAAGACACCGCTACCTCTCATCTGGACCATAACATTTCCCCAGCTGCTTTCAATATATCCACTCTCTGTCCCTCCTCTCCCTTCCCCATTTCATTCCCCCACAAGTAGCCAGAGTCATCTTTTAAAAAATACCAATCACATGGTGACTCTCCTAAACTTGTAGGCTTAACATCAGTGATTTCCTACCACTGCTTGGATGAAGTCCCAGATCCCTAACCTGGCCCACAGAACGCTGTTCTTCAGCCTCATCGCTGGCCACTCCTTGCCATGTTAAAATTGTGCTCTTCACCTTGATTTCCTTCCATTTCCTGGACACATGAAAGCTCTTTCTCCCTGAGAGTGTTTGCGTCTGCCGTTCCTTCTCCTTAGCTGCTCTCCATCCTCTTCCCTGGCTCACTCCTGTTCATCTTGGGGGCTCCACCTTAAATGTGCTTTCCCTTCCCTCATCTTCTCTCTATGCTGTACGCTCCCAATAGCAAGCATTCTGTATGTCCCTTCGCGTCTTCATCAGAGTACTTACTTCAGTTGTGATTCCATGATTATTTTTGTAATTTCTCTTCATTGTGTGTCTTCCCCCACCATCTGGTGGGGGTTGGATTCATGCATGTCCTGCTCGTCTCTGTATCTCCAACACAAAGCACAAAGCCTGGCGTGTGGTAGATGTTGCCCATCTGGAGAATAAATCTGTGAATGGATTTGGTTTCTGCCTCCATCCCTCCCCTGGCACTGCTCTTACTGAGTTCACCTGTGACCTTCTCATTGCTAAATCCACTGTTTCTTCTCAGTCTTGAAACGTGAGACTTCCCATTTAAAAACCACTGTCAACCCTCTATTTCTTTAAACATTCTCCAACTTTTCTTATCCTTGGATTTTGAGACAGCATTCTTTCCTTCATTTTCATCTACCCCTCTAAGCTCTGCTTCTGAGTCTCCCTTGCTCTCTTGCTCTGGGTGTCCCTTAAATGTTAGTGTTGGGGCGCCCGGGTAGCTCAGTTGGTTAAGCGTCCAACTCTTGATTTCGGCTCAGGTCCTGATCTGGGGGTCGTGGAATTGAGCCCCACATTGGGCTCTGCACTGGGTGTGGAGTCTGCTTAAGATTCTCTCTCTCCCTCTCCCTCTGCCCCACCCCCCCTTACGCTGCCCCCCCAGTCTGCACACATGCGTGCGCGGTCTCTCCGTCTCTTAAAAAAAAAAAAAGTTAGTGTCCTTCATGAATCCAGCCTTCGCTCTTTCACTCTTTTCCCTCCTACACAATCTGTGATCAGCCTTCGCTTTATCTTGGCTTCAAGCATCACATTTATGCTGGTGAACCCCAAACCCATATGTCCGGCCCGGACCCTGCCCCTGAGTACCAGATCCTTCTTTAGCATTGCATTTTGAAATACCTTCATCCTGATGTCCCACAGACACCTCAGTTTTCATATTTCACAAATGGACCTTTTTAATCTTCCCTGCCCAACGTTTCCTCCTCCAGCATTTCCAATCTGGCTAAATAGTTTTACCGCCAACCTAGTTTCTGAGGCTAGAAGCCACGGAGGCATCCCGGGTACGTCTGCCATCTCTGCATCCCATGTCCAGCTGTTAACACAACCTGTCTCTTGCATCCCTTGTTCCTCTTCCTTCTGCACTGCCACCACTTAGTGTAGCTTCTGCCCTTGTTCATATCACCTCTTAGCTGGGCTCCCTCCTTCTGGCCTCTTCTCCTCCAGTCCATTCCCAGCACCAGTGCCAGAGATCTTGTCCCACAGGACCAAGCTTGATCATGCTGCTTCCCTGCCTCACCTCCCGCCTTTCTCCAAAATGCCTGTATGGTGAAGCCCATGCTCCTTAGGCTGATATGGAAGGTTCTTCCCCGACGCCATCTTTCTTGCTGGCTTTGCTTCTCTTCCACCATTCACCTTCCTTTGAATATGCCATCCTTTCTCATCATGTGCATATGGTGTCGAGCAGGGGTTCTCAAACATTATGGGGCTTCCAGAATCACATGGAGGGCTTGTTAAAACACCACATGCTCCGTAAGTCTGAAATGAGGCTCAAGATCTGAATTTGTCACAGGTCCCCAAGGGCTGCTGGTGCTGTTGTTCTGGTGACCACTGTGAGAATCACTGGTGTAGATGGGTCAAGAGTGTGAGCCCAGGGAGCCCTGCTGCCTGGGATCAAATCCTGCCTCTGCCCCTCATTTCCTGTATCACTTACCCTCTCCATACCTCAGTTTAGTTTTCCTTAAGATGAGGCAAATAATATGAGCTACCTCATCAGCTTTGGTGGAGGCCTGAATGAGTTAATCCTCAGAGAGCCCTAAAAACAGTACCTGGTTCGTTGTAAGTGCTCAGGAAATGCTAGCCACCACCATTGTTTATGATGATTTTGATCGTTATTCATATCCTTGGTTGTGAAGGTCTGCCTTTCTCAATCTTTTCTGCTGACAATCTTCTGCTCTTTCCTTGAGAATGAGTTTGTTTTCCAAGGTGCTTTTGCTAGCACTCCCCACCCCCACATCCCTGATGTACACCCAGGCTGGAGTGCACCAGTGCATCTCCCACCGAGGCACTTGCCACGTGGGGCCCACCTACCTCCTGGCCAGGAGTGGGTCTCGCCCACCATGCACTCTCCAGGGCTTCATTTGTGCATCCCTGTCTGGTACATCATAGGGACTCAAACATGTTTAACGATTCAGTGACCAAATTGGCATGTACTGTAGAATTGAATACTGTATTGACAAGGCAGTTACACGGGTCAAGTCTGGGGAGAGGACTAAACACCAAGAAAAGGTGGGGAGAAAAATCTGATGTGGAAATTTGGGAAGTTGTAGTCAGGATCTTGAGATTATGCTTCAGGAATATGGACCCGTGGTTTTAGGAACATCTGAAGGCACATGATTAGGACCATCTTAGCTGTAGGCAGTCAAAACAAAACCCCAAAACTCAACTCAGTGAACATAGACAACAAGGATATGTATTACTTGTATAGTGAGAAGTCTGGAGGAAGGGGAGCACTAGGGCTGTTTAACCCAGTGGTTCAGTGATGTCATCAAGGACCTGGGTTCTTTATTTCTCTGTTCTTCCCTTATGCTTCCCCATCACGGTCACAACGTGCCTGGACAAAGACAACATCCAGCAGAGGAAGAAGTTCCTGCATCTCTTTTTCAGAGCCAAAAAAACATTTCCAGGAACGTCCCCAGGAGGCCCCTCTCAATGACCAGAAGAAGCGAGAAGCCCACCCCTAACTTGCTCACAGGCAAGGGCTCTGCATTTGCTCGGACGGCATAGGGCCCCTGGGCTGGGCATACGGTCGCCTACCCTGAATGATAACAGCAATGGAGTTCTGTTGGAAAGGAGCAAGGGAGAAATGGATGTTGCTTAAGCACAGTGTCTGCTTCAAAACCAGACCCAAATCCCAGCTGGAAATTTATTTGAAAAGGAACAGGATACAAATTAAGTGACTTCAAAGGCCTTTTCTACTCTGAGTATCTGTAATGAATTATTTGAAGTCAAAGTGAAGAGACCTTTCCTCTGTCTGTTCCATCTGCAGGTCATGCCCTGACCACAGCTGCCCCTCAGGAGACTGGCCTGGAGCCAAAGTCACGTCATCGGGCTGCTGGTCAAGGGTGGAGCGGGAGCGACTCTCGGCTTTTCCTCATGAGCCCCGCCTGGGTGTCCACCTGGCACTCAGCACGAGCACGTCTCTTCCTGCCGGAGCAGCTGCTCGACCCGGAGGCCTGGCCTTCAGAGAGAGCTCCAGGAGCACTCAAGCCCGCTGTGCTGCCTCCCCGACCCCACGCGTGTAAGGGGCCACGGGACTTGCTCACGGTAAGAACCGGAGGTTCCTCGAGCAGGTGTGGTGGGAACTTGCGAGAAGGCCAGGCCAAATAGGCAAACATTCTGAATGATGACGCTGTATCTCTGCTAGGGGTCTCTGATTTTCTGGAGCCCCTCTTAAAAACTCTTGTAGTCCGACCTACCAACCTACCTGGATTTTGAGTTTCCTGCAGGTCAGGTTTGTGGAGAACTGTGGAATAGGCTCTGAACAGGTGAAAGGAGCTGGTAAGAAACTGATGGGAGCGTCTTGACCAGGGGTAGCAGGTAACGATTGTGGACAGCAGTGGGTATCCACAGTGGGCAACGAGTCTGGGCTCAGCCGGGAGCGTGGTGACAGCGTCTAGAAATTGACTACTAGCCTGACATCCTGATGCTTTCCCAGGTCTTCCAGACACACCTATCAGGAGCAGCTAAAATGAAAGACGGTAGAAGACTGAGGCCAGATGGCAGTGCAGTGGGATTTAGTTAGGAGTGACGTCTGTGGCATGCACTGGGGGGTGAGGTCATGCTTCCTTGGCCACTATGAGATGTACTGTATTACACGTATTATATATGTATATAATGTGTATGTGCGTATGTATGTATGTATTATATTTTTTGTGTCTGTCTTAAATCTTCAATCACATTGTCAACTCCCCAGGGCAGTCATGGAACATTGAATTCTCCTATGTTCTTCACAAGGTCAGTACTCCGAAATGATTGGTTGACTGAGTTTTTACTGCACACCTATACGATAAAACTCAATCAGCCCAGGTCCCAGAGTTTTCATCCGTTGGGGCAGAGATGCCATCAGTGCCTTCCGAGCACCTCCTGAGATGGGACAGCATCAGCTACCCCTGCCATGTGAGCTGGCCAGAGCGCATTCATTTCCTATGGCAGCTGTAACAAAGTACCACAAACAGGGTGATTTAAAACGGCAGAAATTGATCATCTCTCCGTTCTGGAGGATTGAGGTCCAGAGTCCAGGCGTTGGCAGGACCATGCTCCCTCTCCAGTCTATAGAGGAATCCTTCCTTGCCTCTTCCCAGCTTCTGGGGGTTTGTCAACCATCTTCAGCATTTTGTGGCTTGTGGCCACATAATCCACACTCTGCCTTCATTGTCACATGGCTTTCTCCCTCTGTATCTTTATCTTCATACAACTGTCTTTTTAAGATTTTATTCATTCATTTGATAAGGAGAGAGAGATTGAGAGCACAAGCAGGGGGTAGTGGCAGGCAGAGGGAGAGGGAGAAGCAGGTTCCCTGCTGAGCAGGGAGCCCGATGCAGGGCTTGATCCCAGGACCCTGGGATCATGACCCGAGCCGAAGGCAGTCACTTAACCAACTGAGCCACCCAGGCGCCCCACACGACTGCCTTCTTATTGGACTAGGGGCCCACCACACTCCAGGATGACCTCATCTTAGCTAGTGACATCTGCAATGACCTTATTTCTAAATGAGCTCCCATTTGATGCACTGCGGGTGAGGACTTCAACAGGTCTTTAATGGAGATCGCCATTCAACCCAGAACACTAAGTGAGCTCATCCAGGGTGGCAAGACAAGCACATACGAAAGACGTGAATATTGAGTGTCCCTTGGTGCTGAGAAGCACGTGTCCCCTCTTCTCTGTCCTCTGGCATTCTCCAGGGAAGTTTGCGTGAGCTGGGGCCTGGCTGGACACACCGGGATACTGTGCTTTGGGGGAGGACCTCCATATTCCTGTAACTCTCCCTTTTCATAGGACAAGTTGGGGAGAGGTCCCAACGGAGGGGAAAAACCAGACCATTTGGGTTCTAGGCAGCCTTAATTTTCAAGGAAAGTGGGGGAGCCCCACCTCATCCTGTGGGAAGTTGTATGCCCTTTCCCTGGGGGAGGCAGAGCTTTGGGACCCAACCAGCTCATTGCCGGGCAATTCATAGGGAGTCCCAAATAACAGACACCCAACAACCTGCTTATTTCCAAACCTAGGAGACCTCGTTCCCTTTGCTGCCAGTTTTGTTGCTTCCCCAGTTTAGGACCAATTAGTACAGAAGTTATAATCCAGGGACCTGCAGGCCATTCCATTTGTAGCCTGAAAATGTGCATTGTTCACAGTGGCTGGTGTATTTTTTTTTAACACGATATTTTTATATCATTTTTTGAATAGGCAATATGTTTACATAGTTCAAAAACAAAACCATTCTAGGAAGCTATCTAGTGAAATCTTATCTTGGCCTCTGTTTGCCTGCCCTGCCCCCTCCTGGGACAATAATCAGCTTAATTAGTTTTATACATCCTTCTAGAGTTTCATTTTGCAAATACAAGTCAGTACAAATATACCTGATACCTCTATCCTGTCTTTTCTTACTATACACACTTTTTTAAACCTTGTTTGTTTTTTTCCACTTAATTTATCTCGGTGCTCGTTTCCTGTGGTATGTTGAGAGTTTTCTGATTTTTTTTTTTGACAGAGGCATAGTGCGCCATTGTAGGGATGTAGCCTAATTGATTCAACCAATCCCCTACCGATGGGCACAGGTCGCCATTTTCAGTCATTTGGCGTTTATTACAAGTAATGGTGCAGTGAGTAAGCTTGCCATTCTGCCTCGTGACTAAATGTGTATAACGCTTAAAAATTCTAAACTACCTTTAAATTATCAAAAGGACTGGAAACAGTGGGTTCTAATAACCCCGGGTTTGGACTGAGTAGCTGCTATCTCTAAGGATCCCTGACATTGGGACTGGCCTGTTCCCATCTGCCATTTCCCCACCCTTCCCCCCGTTCTGTCTTCTATTAAGTCGGAGTGTTGACTGCCACAGAGCATCACCACTGTGCAGTCCTTCTTACGGTAGCTAAAGAAGAAAGAGGAGAACTCAGGGACTCGTGTCTCTTCAAACTGGCAAATGAAAGCCAAGGGGGGTCTTTTGCAAGAAGAAGAGGAGAGGGCAGATGTCTGTGTGGGTGTGGTTCTCCTTCGTTCACACCTGACGGGTTGGCTCACCTGTGTTACTTGTCTGGACACTTGGGTGTGTAGTGCTGTCTCGTTATGGCTGTGCCATTTCGCCTCAGAGTAGAAGGGGAGGAACTCTGCTCGCTGGCTGTTTTAGCACAGCCTGAGTAGCTGCTTGGAGACCCAGGATAAAAATGAACTCGATGGTCAGAAGGATTGTTCTATTGCATGCACTATCTCACCAGAACCCCATGAGGATGTGGTATTTCTATTTGCATTTTATAGATCAGAGTCAAGTCGCTTGACCAAGATTTGTAACTCGTGCTTTGTAGAACGAGTATCTGAACCCAGGAATTTCTGGCTCTAGAACCTGATGCTTTAGCTAATCTTTTATGCTGCCTCCAGATCTTAAAAGAAAATGGTGTGAATTACAGTTACACCTCTCACATTTTAAGCTTGCCGTCAGGTCATGGCAAAGATAAGAGAGCAGCTCTGAAAATGGGCGAGTTGGTGAGGGCTTGGGATGAGAATGCATTTTGTTCTCCTAACAAAGGTGAGGGCTCATCCTTTATGGTCTGTCATGCTGTCGTCAGCCCCATTGCCCCCTTTGCTCTTCCGGTCCCCAGACATTTGCAGAACAGCTTCTGAAGGTGAGGCAGTGCGCCAGAAGTGAGAGGAAAGGGGGGCGAGCCACACCCTGGCCCTTGGAGCCTAGTTAGGCCACGTCCACAGAGGTGGCAGTACCACCTGGTCAGTGTGGTGTGGGAAGGGCGTCATGTGTCGGGCTGGGGCCTCCATGTGATAAAAGAAATGGACTCACTGCAGTGGAGTAACAAGGTGGGTGGTTTCCAGTTTGTCTTGGGTCTTTACCATTGCTCGATGAAGGGAGGAAGTGAGGGCCCGGAAGTGGAGACTGTGGGCTAAGATATTGAGCCATCCTTCTGCCCACAGCCCAGGCTGAAGCTGGCGGCGGCCGCAGCTCTGCAGGCTGGGGGCTCCTTGGAGACTTGGCCTCCGTCGTGGTGGAAAGGTGGGCTGAAGGAAGCCTCCTCTCCCCCTTGCTGCTCCTATCTCTGCTTTTCTCCGTTCTTGGCCATTCTGCTAGCAGCTGGTGTGGGAGGAGGGGTAGCAGTTGAGGTGGGGGGGATGGGCCAGGAGGGTGTAGTTCATAGGTCATTGAATCTGACATACATTTATTTATTTATTTATTTATTTATTTATTTATTTATTTATTTATTTATTTTTAAAGATTTTATTTATTTAGAGAGAGCGTGCACGAGCAGGGAGAGGGGCAGAGTGAGAGGGAGAGAGAGAATCTCAGGCGGACTCCATGCTGAGTGTGGATCCCGACGTGGGGCTCAGTCTCACGACCCCGAGATCACGAGCTGAGCTAAAACCAGGAGTCAGCCGCTCAACTGACTGAACCACCCAGGCGCCCCTGAATCTGACCTTTTAAGTCACATGTCAGCAGCAGGATTTGCCTGCTGGGGCTTCTTGTGACAGGGAAGTTCCTTTCCTGGCTTTTTATTGCTGCCACTTATTTTTCTTCTCCCCTCAGTTTGCGTGCCAAAGCATCTAGCATCTCTGTAGTTATCGCAGAGCAACGAGGGGTGTTGCTTTTATTTATTCTTTCTCTGAGCAGGAAGCTAACCACAGCAGCCTCCTGGCAGAGGGAGTGGGGAGGGAGATGGTTGCTCTTCATTCAGACACTGGTCTTCGGCACAGGGGCAAAGTTTTCAAAACAGAGGTGTCAGAAACTCCATCCAAGTGAGCGCGGGGGATCTATTGCTTGTGCTTCTACAGATGCGTAATGGAAGGCCACTGTTTCCCGGGTAAAAAGGAGAATTCAGTCCTGAGTGAATACAGACAAGGGGCCTTTCTAGGGCCACAGCTGTTGCGCTCCTCTGTGTTGGTGGCTGTGTGCAGCTACGAGAGCAGAACCCCAGGTTCTGCTTGTCCTCACGGAGCTTGGTGACGAGAAGAGGAGCAAAATATACAGTCGACCAACCTTCTTGGGCCTGCTTCCTCATTGGAGAAACGAGGAAGGTTGGCTTTGGTCAGCATTCCTGATGGGGTCAGT